CTTTGGGGCTGGTCAAATGGCACCAGACTAGTCTATGAGGATAAAATCACGAACTCGTACAGCGGCTGGCCACCGCAATTCGCTGTGTAGGCCATACGTTACGCGCGTTCACACATACGCGTTCAACGTAGTGCCACTACTATTCCGAATGGAAGTCGAATGCGGGGCGCCTTCCAAAGCGGGATTGATCAGAGCCAAATGCTCATTTGACACCGAAAAAACGATTCAGTGAGTTAATATTTTCATAGGGGATGCAAAAAATTCATTCCGAGGTCCGATCTTTGGACCATGCATGCATTTGGTAGCACTATATCAACCTACTCTACCTAATGCAACATTTCCTAAAATCCTAACTGGTAATGTATCCGATAATTATCGATTATATGATAGCAATTGAAATTTCGTTGATCGACGGTATCATCGGTAAATCAAGTTTTTTCGATTGAGAAACTGTCGACGAGACGGGTTTCGTTATCAACAGCCTTGCTTTTCTACCATACGGCAGCTATTGCTGCTAGCCCCTCTATTGGCGCATAAACTGGAAAGACTTGCATATCTGTTTATTTATCTGTTTGTTTATATAGTTCTAGACATGGAGATAAATCATCACATTTACTGGCTTCCTGGCAATTATAATTCGTTGAAGCCAATTAGGCTTAATTGCTGATTACTGCTCTGTAATCCTTGATTTGTGGTTTCCATTTGGTTTCTCATCACCAATAAATCAGTTCTTTCTAAGCCATTGCAACTCTTAATTTTTCTTTTGTAAACATTGCTAAAGCTCTGTCACAACTGCATTACAGTAATATGACCATAATACTATGCCTTTTTTTTTTTAACCACTTCGAATGATGAAGCTCTTCCATAGGAAGTTGCTAGGAATCAATTGAGTCCTATTACAATTGACTTGACTGAGTTTTCAGCTGATGATAGTCATTGCAATCGTCGCTGTTTTACTTTTAGCTGAACAGACGATTTGTCAAGTAAATGATGGGACGGTCACAGGTAACAGGTGCACTTTACTTTACTTTACCTTTTAGACTTCAGTATGACTCACTCAGCGAGCTTCCAGGCCTCGGATGATAAGTCAGGCTAGGGTATTCGACTTGCCGAAGTTTGCTCCGACTGCCAGAATCATCAAATTATCAAGGTCACTCAGAAGGAAACACCACAAAGAAGACACGTCGGTCTTCAGAGATGCAGTAAGTCAGCTACAGTAATCCAAAGTCAAATAGGGGGCTGAGTTGTGTGAGAAGAGCTGGGCTTATACTCGGAATAACTCAGACAATATTCATGTATTTTCCGAGAAGGCCATTTTAGACCCCTCTATTCGAAAGCGAACCTTGGAGCGAACCATTGTTGCACTATATGCCATGCATACTCAATCCAATCTGTGTTGCAAAGGCATTTGATTGCATGATTAGCTCTTACTGCCAATGAGGCATTCATGCGATCAAGTAACAGTAGTGGTAGATCTTGTTGGGCAGTCGGTATACATGTCAGATCTCTATCGGCTGTAAAGAACCCTATCCAAAAACCGCAAAGGGTACACAGGAAGCCAAGTAGGTCCGGACAACCCTTCAGGTAGTGCCTCCTACTTGCCGAACCAATAGTATTGTTAGGTCCGTACTTGTACGGATGCCCAGTCCTTCATGTTTGTCACGGATTTTTCCAATTTCCGTGACTCTTCCTTGCAATCCACGTTCATCCACTCTTACCCATTCCTCGTACTAAGAATTACTGTTTGGCTTCAAGGTACTAACAACACCTATTGAACTCTAGCCCCATTCGAAGTAATTTAGAATAAGTCACTAGCTATCATCTTCCAGGCAGGATCCTTTGACAACTTCGAAGCTTTCGATCTCGAAGGTATCGATGGAGATGCTTCATCAGGAGAAGCAAAAGGGCCAACAAGATCAAGGGATGGTAGCTTCAGCCGTAAACGGGTTAGATCCGAGGAGGAAGGCAATGGCGAATTCTTTCCGGAGACTTAATTTATGATGACGTCATTGCATAGGGTGGCTGAATTCTTGTTTTCAGTTATGTATGTACATAAATTAATTCAAATGTTTCGCAGGTCAACAAAAGCAGCTTTGTTCTGAAATTTCACTCTTCTGCCGTAACACTACAAAAGTTGTCATAGCAAAAGGAAAGAAAGACCTGACTTTTGTTGAAATGAAAAATGAAGGCAAAGATTTCAGATTCAAAAGAATTATTTAAGGCAAATATTGAAGTCGCTGCAAAATTTCTTTGAATAAGTTTGTAGTGTAATACATTTCACGGATGAACAATTTTCCGTGTGTGTCACAATTCAGTCGAAAAGATCTATTGCCAGTTTTATTGTGAAGCTTCGTATAAGGATTTCAGTACACTACCTAATTCAGCAACGTAGTTGTTGCAAAATAGAAAGTTTCAAAGGAGTTCGTTGACTACTCTGAAAGTAAACTATCTCCGATGTTCCTAAAAGTCAAACGACAGCAATCAAAGTCCCAGCCCTGTAAGACCTTGCTGATGTGTCTTTATTTGCATGGAAATCGAGGAATTCCCTTGAAGTGATTCATCTTGAAAACAAGACTATTTTGAGAACAATCTAGCGAAAAATGTAGAAGTTCAGTTCTCTTTATGTTCTGAAAAAAANAAAAAAATATGGACCCAAATATGAGGTAGTTGACGTGCCTACGGGCAGGATGTGTGGAAGTGGAAGGCGAGCTGGACGGGCTAGACTTTTGAACGAGTCAGCCACGGATGAAGTTGGGCTTTCCTTTCTGAATCTGTCGATATGATCACATTGATCACGCTTGGACCGTCGGTTTTCCGGAATGCCTGGAAGTACATAAAATGTAAACCACGAGGCGAATTTAACAACAAAGAAACAGCCCACCTTCGCGAGGGCTTGTTCAATTTCGGGAACACTGCGGACGAAATAGCCGTCTCCACCCAGTGCTTTACACAGTTCGTCGTAACGGCACTCCGCTGACAGTGACAGTACAGGATACCTGAACAGGTAAGAAATCTTGCAACATCGGTAGGGTAGACCGAATTCTTTGGGTGCTGGGGTGGTAGGTAGATGTAACTGGAAAGCGCAACGAAGCTGTTCCGACCGAAGCTGAACGACCTACCATCTTAGTGGCGCTAGAAAATCCCAGATCACTCACTGTAAGGTCGGATCTCCTTCAACCGATTTCATGTCTTCGGGCAGCATTCCGCGATAAATACCGCTGTTATTCAGTACGACACACACTACCGGCAGTTTATACCTGAAAATCGTTAATTGGGTAATATGTTCCGCTTCCGTATCATTAGGTATCATATCATATATCATTATATCATATAGCATTTTTCCGGTGGGCTCCACTTTCTATCGAACATGTGGCGGCAATACCATTCTGTTGAAAACAAGACTAGGCGCCGAAGGCAGTGTTGCACCGATGAGTTCGCCAACCTCACAAACTCCGTCCACAATGCGGAAAGCAGAAAAGTAGATAACTCTCCTGCGAAGTACATATAAACTTAAGCATGAGCAAGCGGACGAACGCGAGCGCTCATTTAATTCTAAATAACCGGAAACAATCATAACCAGTCAAAGTGCTAGTTGCGGAGACAACTCGGAAAAACCGTTGCATCCGTGGTGCATCTACGTCAAACTTTTCTAGGGATTTGAAACTATCAAGGATTACCCAAAACAATCAAACGTACATTTTTCGAAATGTCGAAATAAGTTCTTTAATGGATAAATTGCGTTTCGTGAGAAACGATATAAGTACCTGGCAATTGTCTCGAGTTCCATAGCCGAAAATCCGAATGCACTGTCTCCTTGGACTACAAGAACTCTCGTTTTCGGTGAATGATCACGGCAATATAGAGCTGCAGCTAACGAGTAGCCATGGCCTACTCCCATTGTACCTGGAGTCAAATAGTCTTCTTGTTGTCTAGACCACAGCCAGAACATTAAGGTAAACTACTTTTGGAGCTACCCCATGTGTGTTCAAGGGGCTATGATGGGGCAATAATGGAGCTTTGAACGTTTTAGCGATTTCTTTTTAGGAACTAGTTATAGATAGAAGCACATCCCTTTGCTTACCGAATGTTCCAGCATCAAGTCGTCTACGTGGCAGTACAGACGGCATCATCGTTCGTCCGATGTCCATCGTGTTCGCCCCTTCGTTTACTACGAGGACATCGTTCTGTTCGAGAAATTTGCGGATCTAGAATGGGTATAGCGAAATAAGCTGGAACCAGTGAACTAGTAGATCTATGAAGTAGTAGGCAGGCAGTAAAGGTGGGAAATAAAAACCAACTGGCGTGTAAGCAGCATAGTAATTGAGAGGAACAGAATGGTCAGCTGCCATACGTTCAACAGTGTCCCTAAAAAGGTCATCCATAAGAAGTAAACAGAACAGTAACTATTAGAAATTCTCATCAAACCTGTTTTTCTGAGCATTCGCTAGTAAATCCATCATCCACTTGCTATTCTCCGAATATTTCCAGTCGTCTAGTTCCGTTAACATCTACAGTTAAAACAGCTGTACTCCCNAACAGCTGTACTCCCCTGATATGTTCTTGTCAACAATGACAGTAGAATTTTGATTGACACCCCCGACCACTTGGAAAGGTTGATCGAGTTTTCCAATCTTTTACAATTAATTCTTAAAACCGGTAGACGTAAGATATCGCAAATGGTTCGGGAACTCGCATAAGTCATGCAGCCGCCATAATAGGTCGGTGACAGTAGCGACAGTAAAGCTTTAGGGTATTCAGATTCGTAGAGTAGCTAAATTGAGATGAGGCTGCTGTTGAAGCTTGTTGGAAGAGAGCGGTGGGAACGGACGGTATCTACTCCTGATCTTACTTAACGACAGGATAACCAACTCAAAAAATAACCTACCGAGTAAAGTGTCTCTCCAATATCCCCGAGAAGCGGAACGGTTGTGGGCACGTTCTGATGGAACTCTTCTGGAACGATGTCAACCTCAAGGAATTGACATTGGTCACGTTTCTGTATGAGTTATACAAAGTCTATTGTACCTGTATCACTTTTACATTGCTATTAAATCGAGGTGCCAATCCAAAGTGTAGTATCCAGTTGAGTCTTGCTCCGATAAGAAGAACACAGTCGGCTTCGCGAAGTGCAAATGACCGAGCCGGCCCGACCAACCTGAAACTTTAAGGTTCCACCACTTTTCCGTATCTCTCTTGATGGCATTCTCAGATGCTTGACCGATATAGTCATTCGCAAGAAGCCTCGAATTACAAAAGATAGTGGGAAAGAAGAGATAAAAGCTAGTCTAAATAGCAGAACCTTGGATGCAAATCTGTGCATACACCCTTTCCACCAGGAGTTGCAAGCCATGGTAATCCACTTTTGGTGAGGAACTGTTGCACCATCGTACACCCACGTTCAGACCATGCCGCACCTGAATGTTGCTATTCATAACGCACTTGTGGGGTTCATTTACTGAATTTGGACAGTGTTTGAAGCAGGCAAATCGAGCCTTCAATCAGACCCCAATTCCACGCTTTCTAGAAGGCAAAGATGCAAAGATTGATGAGTAAGTATCACAAATTCTGGTTTGATATCGTTTCAGTTTGACAGACTTAGCCCTTACGAAGTGTACGAATTATGCGACTACGAATGGGAGTTCATGGCGCATTCCAATGGAGATACCAACTGATTCTGTGAATTTATCGAATCATTTTTTATATCCTTTACTACTCAATGTTGAGTCAAGAAGAATCTCACACCTTTTCCTACTATAACAAGTGGTCTTTGGGCTTCTCTGATGACTTCGATAGCGCTGCGGACAATCTGCACAGGCGGATGGGATACCGGGGGTGGTAACGGTACCACCGACACTTTTCTGAATTTGATTCATTATTTTTTCACGTTAATTATTGGTTTATCCATGAATTTTGAGTTATATGATCGGAAAGTCCGAAAGTTTTGTCAACATTTTCACATTTTCCGCTGAAAACTGGTCTTCAAAGGGCAATCTATGTGTAATTAATAAGAAGAGTGAGTTCAAAAACGAAATCATAGGTGTGAAAGTGATTAGATGAATTATTTTCAAAACAATGTTATTTACTGATGAATTTCTGAAAATCTCTCAAAAAATCATTCGTGCGAGGTTGTTATTAGTATAAACTATGGAACGGATGGGTCCAGGAAACATCAAACACAGGTGTGAAAATAATTAGATGAATTACTTAGAAAACGCTATTTGATATAAGAATGGAGTATGAAGCCTCTACTGGGAAATCTGTTCGAGCGAGTTGTTTTCGTGTTTGTTTTGTTTTCAATCCTCTACCTTCCTGATCTTATAAACTAATTAATTTTCAAAATTTTTTGATAAATTCGTTCGAGCAACTATGCAGTTCGTCAATGTTTTTTTTCGAAAAAAAATCGAGATGTAGGGTATCACCACTGACGGGATCTGACTTTCTTCGATCGTAGAAAGCACGAGGTTTCCTGGGATGTCAATGTAGACGGCACCAGGACGGCCATACATGCACTCTTTCACTGCCTTAATAGAACACTTGGGTGAAAGAAGAGGGAGTTCGGTAGAAAAAAAGCAAAAATCGCTTCCGACTCAGCAGTTTACTCGTTCTATGATGTGAACCTTGCTTGACCGACAGATGCTTCGAGAAATGAAAGTAATGCATTGAAGTTGAACCTTCTCGACATGAAATGGTATAGCCTGAAGCGTTGTGGGCCTGCTGACGTGCTTGCAGGCGAGTCGAGCCGATTCGACCTGTGGCCATTCCTGGAAAGCTCCACGGTGCTCTAGATCCACATCCGAAGAGCCACCAATGCAAATCATCGGCCTAAAAAAGATCCATTGCAATTCTTTCTGAGGTGGAAGTAAAAGTCAACCACTCGCTTACCCACATCCATGACGGCAGAGTTCCCATAAGATGCTCGCTCAATCGCCATGAAAGTGTGTAAGCGATTTTCTCACAAATGATACAGAGGTGGCGGTAACACCGCTCTAATGACTGGGGACCACACTCAGTTGGGCCGCACGGCCACCAAGCATTAAAGCATGGTGTTAAGAGATTCACCTCCTCATCAACTCACCAACAATTCACAGTCGCATTGGCGAGACCACCGACTGCGTGCAACAGACCTGGGCCAGACACTACCAGGCAGACGGCAGGTTTCCTCGTCAGGTAGCCCATGGCCTGAGCTGCATAGCAAGCCTGAATAAGAGCATTCCTTCAAGTGCCATCTCGAAGATTGGGTCCAGTCTTGCCTGCCGAACTGCCCTAGACCAGACCCAACTACCAGCAGGGCCTCATTTCTCATAAATATTAAATACTTCTTCCATTCAAATTCTCTTTGCAGATAAATAAACTCCCTGCTCCTTGTCACACTGTTCTGGAGCATCTGGTAGAAACTCTACAACCCAACTTACCGCCTGCTCATTTCTGCATCCAACGTATTTGATACCGAATGCTTGTGCAGCCACTCCAACCTCGATGATAGGAAAACCTACCACACCGAACATATATTCCACGCCCTGAAAAAATGCTGATACAGAAAATTCACGCAGGCGTGAGAAAAACAGAATCGAACTAGTAAATGTGCTGTGTATAGAAAATTTTGATTTCATTTTAACAAAATTGGTACTTGATATTTACTAATCTGCAAGTGATTAGCAAAATCCCACAACAAAATTCCAGAGCACTTGCTTTTTCTTAAATCGATTTCCGATCCCAAAATTGGCGGCGGGATCCTAACAGTCTCATCCGCTAGCTGATATAAGGCATATTAGCTGGTCAAGGTGATATCGATCGTTCCAATCAGCGACCGATGGAATCAACAGCGCAACGATAAACATGCCGCTTCTAATTGAAAACTTTTGAGAACGATGCAAAGCTATTAATCAACCTACTACACAAATCCTACTAAGATAGACTGTGACAGTAAGGCCTCTCTTATAGATGACTGCATCAAGTTTTAATGGGATTAAGGTATCATATTAACACTACGAACGGTTACATTCCAACTGTATCAAGTGAAAATCAGTAAAGTACGTTCACGAACCTGTTCTTTGAGGCATTTTGCAAGCACACTGGCACCGTCCATGGCGCGTCGAATGGAAAAGTGTTTCGATTGACCTGATCTGATCGACTGCGCTGTAACCTTATCAGCAAAACGCCAGAGCACGTGTTTTTGTATACGAAACATTGGACCTTGGCGTCGTCAACCTGCTCCATCCACCAAATTCCGTTTATCTGCAGGAAAACACTCCTGTATTGCCCAAAAAGTTGGAGCAAAAACTCGGGGGTATCGGACAAACCCCTCAAATTTCTTTATGCTGATATATTGTTCAAAAGTGCCCTGTGCACGGCGCGAACCAGAAAGTTCAGTGGAGCTATAGGCCAGAAGAAAGGGACTCAATGCCCATGCTATGTTTTGGGTTCCGCTTCTTTGTCATGCTCTCTCAGGACTCAACATGTCTCTGAGACCATTGACAAGTTCAATCCCGTTCACATCCTGCAAACAAGAACTGTCCAGTTCGCATAGTGACGCCATCACCCAAAAGGTTTGATGACGGCAGGACTAAACTGTTCCGGTGAGCTTGTATTTTACCAGGAAAAGCAGTGGGGACTGTTTGAAATGGCGTTGCTACCATTCATCTAATCCTGGGATCAAAGCATTGACCAACACTCTATGTACCCAGCTTTTCTACCGCTCCTAAACCAATTTATTTCTACAAGGCTCATCTGGGTAGATAAGACGTCTGACGTGTACAAAGCCGATGCACTTCGCACATCGGCTGGCCTTTAATTCGTGTGCAGACCAAGTCGCATTCTAGGAAAACTGTGGTGGAGGTTGAGACGGGAGTGAGGAGTATACCTAAACAGGATCCAATCCAGAGAAGTACGTTTCATGCTCATAAGAGAGCCGATTGACAACGAACATTGAGAAAACAACAGATAAAAACAACAGCACCTGACTAAATAACCCACGGGCAGAGACAATTGGGTCTAAGCTGCCAGTTGACTGTTTTCCTAGCTGTTTTTGTTTTGCCAGTTCATTTACATGTTTCCTACAATAGGCCGTGAAATCGATGGGGAATGTCTCTAATATTTAATAGATTACTTCGAATTGGCCCAATATTCGACGTTCCCGCACTCTTGCTATCGATTAATGAAACAAGTTTATCAATAAAATCACAATGAAGAAACAACAGCGATGCAAAGTTGTAATGCTGAATTAGGCCTCCTTCACAAGCGGTTTGTGATGCTCTCGCGAAGGACTGCCATGCATCGACGTCCAGCACGATTCACAATAGTACTGTAAACATAGTGAAGGTAAACATTCGTAAACGGTACAGAGGACAGTACAGCACAACACCTGCAAGCATTCCAGATGAGGGCAAAAGAATGGGGCATGACGTCCACCATTCGGTTCACGAACACATTCTTCACAAATCTGATCATCCAGTACGTACGGCTTCATTTCGACCTGTAGGAATGATTTTGGAGTCATTTCAACAAAACAGTCTGAGATCCATTGTACGTATTTGCTGACTCAAGGCCTTCAAGCACACGCTCCGCCCTCAAGGTTGTGTCCAGGACATCGCCATGACATACGCTGCGAGTAATGATGAAAAAATACCCGTTTTTCCACTTCTCCATGACTTAGTTGAGCGTAACGTTCTGTTATTGCCCTCATGTAAGAGTTGTAGTTGGTAAAGGCTACACGACCCGCACCTGGAAGTAACAGTCATATAGTTACTTATAAGGAATGTATGCAAATGACAAAACAAGCCACGATACAAGTATTGGGGAACGGAATATCACGTGCTGTGAGACGATTATCCGAATAAAGCAGCTTCCCAGGCAGTACCTTTCGGGTATTTATACTCAACATCAGTGTCGATACCAGCACATGCGACACTACCGTACAGCCGATCCATGATATGGGCCAATTCGACTGAAAACAATTATAAGTACTTGTTGCGCAGCCAAGGCCTTCCTAATTTTTATTACCAGCTCTGATCGGTCTCGGAACTCCGCCAACGAAAACTACACGACGTAGGTTTATCGGTACGTTGACATCCACCAGATAATCAGCATCCGCAAGACGCCATGGACGAATTTGTACCTTCTGAAAGATTTTGTTAACCATGATGCAGTGTGACGAGAAGAGCTTTCATGGCGTCTTGGTGAAGAAGTAGTCCAGGCCGGTCTAATTTATGTCAGTTAATGTACTCCTGATGGAGAGCCGACTTGGTATGACCTGCATTAAGTTGACTCTGGCAGCTACAGTTTTCTCTTCGTGAAAAGCGCAACGGAATCATTGGGAAGATGTCACTTACGAGCTTCTCAGAGCTCAATGGTGAACTGATAAAAAGGAACAGCTTCTCATCCTCCACTGTACAATGCTGGACCAGGGTCCTTACTGATGTCTCATGATCAAAGATGAGAAAAACGTAACCTTAAAAACATATGGTTAAAGCTCGTAAAGTTGGTTTTCATTGCATATCAGTGTGGACACACTGCAAACTATAGAAGGCTGAGATGGCTTTGCTCGATTTTTTAGGGCACTCGATACGGTACGGTTGAGGTCCCGCTGAATAAAGTGCCAACGGAGTTCGTCAAGGATCAAGCAAACGCTTTACCTGCCTAGCCAGATTCTCCTTCTCCTTTCTCTCTCGGGTAAGCTCCATGGTGGGAGGAAGAAGTCATCACCACCAGTCATCGCCTGCGTCGATCATCACAAGGAAGCGCGGTAGCGGCTTCCTTGTGATGATCGACGCAGGCGAGGTAGACCCACAAGAGCGGCACCAGACGCGCGACAGCGACCACGGGGTGGGCCTTTCTTCAGGACACATGAAAGCTGACGTACCTTTTGGTGGATAGTAACTTTTAGATTCGTTTTTATTTGGCCAATCAACGACCAGCGATCCAAAACGAGCAAAAGTTTCCACCAGTTCTTCTAAAATATCCCCAAGTAAATGGTATATAAATAGCCTGGGAACAAATTACCTTCTTCTATATCGATAGGTAATCCTCCCACAAACACCTTCCTACTGTAGATCTCCGGTCCCAGATTGTACTGATGGTAATATTTCGATTTCAGAGCACGGCTTAAATGAGGTGCCATCATTAGAAGGATTGTTAACAGGGGTTCGTGTTCGACGACCTACCACACTGGCTGTTGGAACGATGACGAGCTTCCTCGGGATTCACAATCGGCGTTGAATGTGATGCCACTTTCGAAAAGTCTCTGAATACCTTGGCACAGGTATTCGTAATACTCCACGTACTGCTCATCAATCATATTCAGATCGGTCCGCTGTAAACTGATGATAGATTGCTGATTTTAATTGCAGTAGAAAAATTCAAATGGTTGGTCACCTCGTTACTGCTCCATCCAACTCGGGGTCCATCTCCTGAATGCTCTATCACACTGCTGCCACTACCAGAAGATGACAGTCCTCAATATTGACTACCAATATCGACCAGTAAACTCTTACATCTTGTTTCACGCAGATTAATCGTCTTTTATTACGAATTCTAGGACTGTAATCCTCCGAAATTCGTTGTCACCCACTTTCTCGTTCCCAGGCCTCCCTGTCCTCTGCGTTATCCTCATGCCTTTTTGCTGTCCATCGTTCTCGTTGTATATTCGGCAGGAACGAGCACTTGTCGCGATATACCGTATTCAGCGCCTTGAGGAAATGCTGATTAGTACTTGTATGTAGATAATGAGCAAAACTCTAGAAGCTTACATCTAAAGTACTGAAGTCTCTACGAGAAAGCAATTCGGCTTGAGTTTCCATTTGACCGTTTTCCATAAATGTATTAGCACGATGCCGCATCATCTGAAACCTCTACAAACATCCCTAATTTGGAGAATCTTCGACAGACTTCAATCCTCCTTAGAGTTCATGGGGCAGAAGTGATAGTACCGTGCAGTACTACTGGCTCGCTATCAGGCTGTCATCGAACCCACGGACAAAAGAGTCAGGACTAACTACGTACTTGAGAGTGATCCTGCTGTCGCCTTATAGGTAGACGTTCAGCTCTTCGACCATTTTGTTCATCTTGGTAATATGAAGCGGCATTCGTTCGGGAAAACCCACCGAATGGCGAGTTGTGACGGAATGGATGACCTAAAAGATTATTTGTCAGTGGGAGTACGAACCAAAAGGTACGATGGGCACCGCACTACCGCCGCTCTCTTATGCGACGCCGCAAGGCAACTATGGAAGTCGCTTCACGATCGCGCGAATCAGCTTCTGGGAAGATGGGAACAAAATTTGCGGAGAAATCTTACCAATATCTAGTTTCCCATCTGTCTTCTTCATTACGTCGGCTCTCACATTCTCCCAACCATCTCGATCGTTTTTACCACTACTTCTAAACTCCTCATTTTGTGATTCTTCTTCGGCTGTTTCCATATCGTCTCCTTTATCGAAATGATCAACACATTTGTCCTCTGAAGTGTCCTCCTGCTCACTGTTGACTTCTGTCTGAAATCGTTACAAGTAGTTACTTCTAGCATCATTTCCTACCCATATCATTCACAACTACATGCGTTCTTATCAATCTTGTATGATATGCCGGATAACACGACGCTCCAACTGGTAGGTATGCAGCTAAAGGTCGCCATGCGACGTCGCGCGGTTTGCCGCGTGCGGCACACTTGTGGACGTGTAGTGAACCACACCAGTCAATACTCAAAAGTGCCGCGCGCGGAATTCGCATCCAACGCGCCCTGACTTCCAGCTTGTTGCCCGGCCGCGCGACATCCTTGGCGGCACCCAGCTTTCAACAACCTACTGTTATTTACCATTTTCAAGTTCATATCGAAACTTGGCTCCATTAGTGGAGATCGTCCGAATTNCTCTGCCTTTCTCTCTTTCGAACTCGATCGCTATGTTTTCATCTCTTTTAAACGGAATAATTGTAACCAACCTTTGATTCCTCATTTCCCCAGAAGTTATCGTCGTTTAGATCTAAGAAACCACGTTTACTCATCTGAAATGCACAGATCCAAGTAACGGATGAGCCGGTACCACCTGAACACAGTGCAACCTTACTTGCCTTCTTTAGAAGCTGCTGAACATGAAGAAGTCAAAATAGAAAATGATCCTTACTTCGATGTAACAGACCATGGCGGTATCATATTATGATATGTTGCTATGATACAGCTTGCTTGATATCATTTAAGTTCTGGAAGGCTTTTAGGCTTCATACAGCATCTGTACGTCATATACTTGCAAGAAGAGCGGGCGCGAGAAATCAATAGCCATATCTATGCGTATGCGTATGCGTACCTATTAGCGAGCTGATTTGTGCAAATAGCGTGGAGGTCTTGATAAGAACGATGTACTCAAACTAATGATAGGACGTCCTGACGAAAATAGTTAACTTCACTGGACTGGTCCAGGTATTGAAGTTATTACCGGTTACCCGAGTAGAAACTAAACGCATACGGAATGAACTGGTCGCTAAGGCTAATTTATTCCTCCAAAGCCCCGTTTACAGTAATTTAGTGTTAATGCCTACCTTGATGAAAAGATAGACACCTTGGAAGTCTTAGTAGGAAAACCCTTGAAATGATCTAAGGCAATTCCTCCCTTGAGATGGAAGATGGCCCACCACTGAGCAGTTCACACAAACCTACTGAGCAATGCGTAAACTGTTTTTGGAATGGCACCGATTAGACTACATTGATCCCTTGCTTTTAATATCTCTCGGAAAATTCTCTTTTCTGAGGTCTTATAGCTGTCACGAGTAAAAAGCGCATCGCTTGAAAAGCAAAGGCTGGTACACCACATTAATTAATCATATCTTTTTTACGAAGTTCTTCCATTTCCTATCTCACATAATATGTGAATCCACAATGAGTCTCTGAAACACTTTTCAGCACTCAATTCTTTTAGCAACTATCACTTTAAGTCCCACTTTGCTTTTTCACTGCTCATTTGTCTCACCGATCTACGTAGCACTCGAATTCTTTGTCGATACCGGATTCAGTTCTCAACGAGTGCCAGTTATTGAATCCAATCCAGTACTATCACGCTTTATCACTTGCATAACACTTGACAAGACTTAAACTAACTGTAAGAGCAAATGAGAACAAGCGCATATTAACAAGAAAAAGCAGCTTGCAAAATTAGAGAAGACATATTCACCGGCATGTCAACTTAAGGTGCATGGATTTATCGAATCAATTCCATTCCTGTTGAGAAAACTCCACCCAAGTCCGAAAGGGGAATCGGACGGAAAATTGTAGGTAAACAAACTTAGGCAAATATGGCACGCATCACCACGACCGCAGCCGTAATTTCAACATATTGCATTTAGAACCCTACATATCACGTTAAGAACATGTGTTCGGGAAAAGAGATAGGGATCAGACAGAACTTGAAAATTACAAAAAGGAGAATGAGCGAAAACAGTGGATCCGAATTTGGAAGGACAACCTTCCATACGGTTTTGAGAAGCAAAATTTGCTAAGCGAATTAGGCCCGTATCCCTTTTTTCAAGTGCTCATACTCTCGTAACATCACTTCCGCTTCAAATAAAAGATTCTCCAGCTGTTCCTGGGCTACCCGTTCAGACTCTTCCACTTCTTCAAATGGTGTCCGTGTCTTCGGAACCTAAACAGCAAATGATCTAGTCAAGGGAAAGGAGTTAGCCCAAAAGTATTTTTATACGAAATTTTCATCATGAACTGTAGCCAACCTCTTTTTCTCCGAGCAAGAGATGCATATCAGTAGGATCGAAATCCGGAAGGGGGATAGTTTTTGTTGAAAACTCTGCCTGCAGTCGTTTTAAAGCTTCATTCAGATTTTCTCCAATGTCTCGCATCTTCTGCAACATATCGCCTATTACCTCGCTATTCGGCATCCTAAAAAATACATCAACTAAAACGAAGTTGAAGCAAAAGGTATACAGCGAAAAAGGACCGTTGCAGTGCTAGAACAGCTTTTTGAAGCTTCCTGGATGCGTTAATTATACGTTTTTTATTATCTCCACTGGAGGATGGTGAATTGCAGCATGAACTCTTATCACAATCATGATCTTCACAATCCGGAACCTCTTTACGTTCGCGATACTCGTGAGTAAATATTTCAAACTGGAACAAAAATATTGTTTTCTTTGTGGCTCACAAGTAATAATGAACCTGTGAACAATTGAAGCTCTGTTGATCAATAACGCGATCAGCATCTACGTTTGATGTCTCTTCCAACGTCTCTGCCATTGTGGAATCTGACATTATAAAACAATCTGAACTGAAGTTCACTGTCTATAAAGCATACTACCGAATACCGGAAAGCAAATTCATGCTTAAAATCGATTCTGAAGGTTTAGTGATCTTATTAAAAGAAAAATATAGAAATTACAGATAGACTTTTTTGCGAAAAAACATGAATTGGAGAACAACCGGAAGAGGCAGTACTGAAACAACAACAAATACACAATAATATAAATAGAAGACCTAGAGATCAGTTATGGTAAGGAACGGCATTCAAGAGCCCGCCAGATGTTTTGATAATGGCGGGTATTAGGTTACCGACCTCTCAATAAGACCTTGTCCAGTTCCATGGATAACGAAAAGAGGGTCCTTTCAAATAACTCTGTTAAGGATCACAATAAAAGAAGAACAGTAAAAGAAAATTAAGTCGATATGCACAGGCGAAGTAGTGACGAGTAAGGTAGAGAAGAATTGTACCATAACATCAAATTCTATTGAGAGAGATAACAAAAGAAAGGTGAATTTTTAGCTTCAGTATATTACTTCACAACAAAACAATACCACGCTCCTTAATCCGTCGCACCAGCATATTGTACTTGACTGCACTATTTAAGGCACCTTGAACAAATTCTGACACAAAATCTATCTTGGTGTATCGTCGAAAGTTGATGAAGCGCAAGAACTCCATAGCGAAATCGAAACAATTCCATCTTGAATCATCATAGAACTGGAAACAAACAGCTTTCTATGGGGTCTAATCTGCTCCACCAGCACTTCATACTAGTACCGAATGAAACAAGGTGGAAAAATGTAAGGAAAACTAATATACCTCGCCTTCGAAACTTTCGGCATTTTCTCTGAGAAAAGACGACAGCAAAGCGTCGAATCTAGAAAACCGATATGATTTTTTATAATGCCAGGTACCACTCAAAAAATCAAACGAACCTATCCTCATAATCATCGAAACGACACACAACTATTGACTTATCCCAGCCAGCACATTCAGAAGATATGCCATTCATCCAGTAGGAACGTACCACAGACATCGAGTTTGAAATACCAATGTGAAGATCATCGCCTACACTATAGCTGCAAAATGCAAATATGATGAATAACCTGCTAGCACCATTCCATAGAGTTCTATAGCGTTTAGTCTGCCTTGATTTATGAACGACTATGACTGATTAATCTTGTTTTTTTTTTGGTGTTCTAGTTCAGCATCAACCGGAAGTTTGATATTTAGCCACGTACAATATCAAAACCAATTAAAGGAAAAGATGGGGCGCCAACAATCGTCTTGCAAATTCTTGTTTCGTGAAAGTTCTCGACTCCACGAACGGAAAATGCCTCAGGAAAGTTTGATCTATGCAGTATAAACTCGGAGGATTTCGCTGAACACAGCACTAATATGCAAATGGAAGCAGTTATCGAATATATTTCTTGTCAGAAATTAAAAACCTAGGGATGCTATACATCTGCGCGTGACTGAAGGACGCCATAGCAGAGATAGGAAATTAATGGTAACAACTTTAGTCCGCTTCAACTCCGAAATTGAAAACAATCCGTACGAGTAAGGCAAAAAAACCCTTCTAGCTTACCTCAGAAAATCTCCTCGAGTAGGCTTGATAATCATAGCACATCCAAGGCTGCTCTGATCCACGAAAGGAGAAGGTACCGACTCACTCTCCCATCCCGAATACTATGAAACATTCGTTCTGGATTGTGTTCACAAGGAAAAAAAGCAAAGTGTGCGACATGACAAGCCCGCTGAGTTGCCTGTTGAATGTGGCTATGCGCAATGGGAAGGAAATGTTTGTTTCCTTGAAATGCATACTTTTCTGATTTAGTGTAAGGGTCGTATCATTGAGTTTGAAGTCTCATTGACTAAAGCAATGAGCAGTGGAATGAGATAACCACAAACACCAGCCAAGAATACCAAAAGGAGCTCTAAGGTCCTACCTTGAATCCCACACGGCAACGAGGGCACGTTAGAAGCCGGAAATCCGTGAACAGGACTAGCAATTTGGCTCCACAGTCATGTTTTAGGCAATACAAAACCATGAGAGATCTGAATCAAGAAAGAAGTGATGGATAGCTGAGAAGCGGTCTGCTACGAAATCGCAGTGGGTATACTCACCAGGACCGGTAAAACAAATAGGTAAGAGGAAACAACAGTAATAAATAACAACACTAACCATAAAAGAAAAGGACAAATGAAACGAAAGAAACAAGCATTCACAATATTCTGTAAACACTCTCAAAAATATCGACACTCAAAGTTGATTCACAAAAGACTCACAAGAAGCCCAGACACCAAGTAAACCCTTCAGCCCAAGCGCGACGAGGAATTTTGGTTTGCTGGAGGTTTTCCTTTCACCTCGCAGAAATTTAGGTTATGAGTGAAATAGAGAGAAGGCAGCTTGCAGTACACAACAATGAGGTTCATAAACAGCTCAGAGCACCCCATTATTCCGGCTTTGGTGCTTCATGTTATTCCAAGTCGGAATAGAGTCACAGTTGAATAACAGGAGCCACATATTCCGCTTACTATCCTTCCCATATATCGCCCCTCGTGAGTAACACCATAAGAAAAATGTCCTATTTGCCGAAAACCTTTGTTTGAGCTTAACGTTCATCTCCGTATGTAAAACGATTGACGAAAAGAAAAGAAACAAAGACTGTAGCATAGCCATACCTGCGACACGCCGAAGAGCGAACGGGGAATGAAAGTCGTCGGCGCAAATGGATGACTCCAAGGTCGCTGTTCCGCTCTTGAACCAATTTTTACGCACCAGTTTACAGCGAATCGGAAATTGACAAAAAAAGCCCAGGATATCGATCCATAAATATGGATGTTACCAGACAACAACAAAAAAACGATGGCAAAATCAACTCGTTTTATTGGAAAAGCAACTTACAGAAACTGGATAGATACAAGTTGCATTGCTTCGGGAATCAACCAAGAATCCCGTAAAAGCGTTTAAGTACACGTACTTCCATCTGGTGTTGCGATTTCTGAGATATTTCGCACTTCACAAAATAAAATCAGGTACAAGCCATTCAAAAGCAATGAGACGACCATAACGACCCAAGTGGCAAATGCACGTCATGACCCAGTACTATTCGAGCCTGCTCCACTGTTGATAGTGCGGGAAAACGCTGCCTTCAAACTCGCCCAATTTCGCTCGAGGTGCTGGGAAACTGCTTTTTTCAATAGGGCAACTGTACTCCCCTTGTTAATTCCTGCTCAATTGTTCATTGTGGGAAATTGCCATACTTTGATTTATGGTCGTATAGTGTTTATTAAATTTCCAGTATGGCTGTTTTCTTTATTTCCTTATCTTCACATTCAGCTGAAGGAATGAACAGTGAAGCGGATACCATCAGCCAAGAACATGTTCAAGTAGCCGAACTGTTGAACTGTACATTACCGACTTCTCGTGTGAAGAAGATATGCCGTCTAGATCCAGACCTGTCTATGATAGGCAGTGATGCTGTTCTCTTCATTACCAAAGCGACGGCAAGTTTGTTCAGAAGTCTCTTCCTATGTTTCGGTGTACTTCGAGCGGAGGTGTTATGGCAGTGTAAAATTTTATGATTCAGTTCTTAGCAGTTTATTAGTTCTGAGAACTTTTTGGAGTACTTTAACGCAACAGAAGTGAACTATGAGCTCATTGTCTTTGTTGTCTATGAAGATTATCGTCATTTTATAATGACATAGTCGTTGAATTACGCAATGCCGCTCAGTTGCTTTGCGCTGAAAAGGGTAGTTGGTGGGAGGGGGGGGGGGGGGGGGGGGTNGGGGCGGCACTCCACTGCGCTCTTCGTCTCTAATGCTAATGCTAAACTTCAAGTTTATAGAAGGTTACACACCATTTGAATACAGTTCTAAGCTAAGCGTTGAAAAGGGAGGAAGAACGGGATTGGTAAGATGAATAGCTCGTGCAAAAAGCTCGGATGGGGAATCAATTGATCATTCAATTGACCATTGTTTCATTTCTAATGGTTTTTTTTTCCTGCTCAGAGAACACTCTTGTGCTCGTACACTGCTGAGGCTTAGGCGAAAACTACATCCCTAACTAAGAAGCTCTTCGAAGCACTATTATATGTCTGTAGGCCTACTACCTCTCCTTCCCTGCTCTCTAGCGCTCATTGTTTGAGAAGAACTGTGGAGTGCCCCTCCTACCCTACCACATTTCCACCCACTAGACATGAAGAAAACAGCTTTGATTAAGACTTTCTCATTTTGCAGGAACTATTCGTTGCTGATTTAGCAAAGGCTTCATACACTCAAGCTGTTCTAGAGAAAAGGAAAACTATTCAGACGAAAGATATTGGTAAGAATCACTTTCAAGTGAAATATTTTAAAGTGTCGTGTCTAAGGATGAAAGCTGCAGTAGCTCCACATTGATTGTTGTGTTATTCTTTAATTCCAGTCCGTCCAGCCAAGCTTTAAGAGTCTTCTCTCCTTAAAAAAAAGTATTGAAAGTCGTAGTGTGTGATGAATAAAGCCGTCTAGAACTCAGTCCATATTATGTTCAACCATCGGAGTACCAATTTTCAGATAGAGCGATAGCATCGAAAGCCATCTATGAGTTTCTCGATGGTGCCCTAACCGACTGGCCAGAGCCCGCATCTTCGAAAGGAGTTTCACAGGCAGGAAGTAGTGTGGAGGTTGAAGCAATAGTCGAGGAAGATCTTGAAAACGTTGAAGAAGATGATGCTGGAGTCCAAGAAGCTATGGAAGCCAATGCAGAAGAAGATGTGCAAGACAACGGGAAGGAAGATGAGGAACAGGTACCTTGCGCAGATTCTTGAATACTGCTCCCCATACTTTCAATTTGCGCTTACCTTCTCGTTTCTGAGGTTGTTCTGAGATATCCGTAAACAAAGCTTCTCGTATACTGCATTTAGCGACATCTAAGGGTTCAGGTATCAGGGCACAATCCAATACACAAGAGACTGTTTGCGCTTTGCTTTGTTAACTCTTTTTCTGACGGGATGAAGAATAAAATCTTTTGGCGTAATCAATTCCGTTTTGGGATGGAATTACATTCGACTCCTAACAAAATTTCATTACTGTCTAAATGAGTACCAGATCGCTTTTGCCTGTAGATACCGAGTGTACGATATTTTAGCGATCCATCCAAAGCTTTGGACATAAAATTGTTTTCACAATGAACTTCTGCTAGATGCTTTATAGGTAGCTTCTGACTCTGTAGGTGCCGAGGATGCGAATTCGAATGCTGATGATATGCTTGAGTGAGAACCTCATTTTGTAATATTATATATCAATGGCCATTTTTGCATGTAGTTTTTGAACGTTTGTGATGCTTCTACTTTGGATTTCTATTCTTTGTTTTCGTTCCTAACCCATATGAGTGATGTTCCGCGACAGTTCTGGTGTTTATCTCACGAATATTTTTTGTTGTGTTATTTTGTTTTCTTTTTTGTTCTAACCTTCTCTGGTGGGTCATCGTTCCCTCAACGTAATGTTTTTTTTCTGTTGCTAAGTTCAGTAATTCGAACCAGCTTTAACTTTTTTTCTACTTAACTCGATAAAATTGATGATCCTCATGGAAGCAACTTTGTGTTCCGGGTTTCCCTCATTCCACAACTAAGCAGACATAACTTATCTCAGAAAGTGACTTTTTGTGATTTTTTATATGAAGGTTTATAATATTTATTTGTTTTGGCCATTCTGCGTTGCAGGCTTGTAGGCGTATTTTTCCTTAGCGGTATCCTCTTCTACAGCGTCGTCCAAAAATGGAATACAAGGTTTTTGCTTTGTCTTTAGCATGCTCACAGCATCCTAAAAAAGACAGCGTCAGGCAGGGCTCTAAGTATCAATAACATCTAATGACAAATTGGCTTTTTACTTACCCATATGGTATCTGGTAAGGGAACATCCTGTGTCTCTGGAAGGAATATAACCAGAATCCCGGCACAAAGAGAAAATACAGCGAATATGAGCATCGGAACAATTGGCAATGTGACATCAGACAAAATGGCAATGTAGCCGGAAGCACCGGCACCCATTCGGGCTATCTGAAGTGAACAAGTCGCATAGTTTTCGCCAACTACTTTTTAACAAAAATTCAGATTTTTAGAATGGATACTCTTAACCACAAAACATCAAAGGCTGCTTACCATTGAGGAGATCCCTACCGCACTATTACGGACAATAGTCGGATTAAGTTCTGATGTGAATATATAAAGTATATTGAATGCTCCCTGGATACACACCTTGCCAAGCAGCATGAATATTAGCGCCATCTAAATTAATTGTTGAGAATCTCATCAAATCTTCTGAGTTGTATTCGTTCCTACCGTTGTCCTTTTATTGTACATCGCCAGCATTGCTGCCATTAAAAGCGATCCAGCACCAATCAAAGTTATCATTTGTGAACTAAAAACAAGAAATTTAAGCTCTCGGAAAAAATATGAGAACAGCCTGTTTCGTACCTCTTCCTCCCGTACTTCAATAAGAATACGCATGCTGCTAATGTCGGCAACTCAATAGCTCCAGCAATTGCATTATTCAAAAAGAAATTGCCATCGAATACTGATCTGAAGGATAAAGAGATTCACGGGAGAAATAGTAAGTTAATTCCAGCAGCTGCAATTATGGGAGTGGGTCCATCATGCCCCAGCACGCTCCTCATTGGTGTATTGTTATGGTTGTCGGGCGACCAGGAACCGACCAATGAGGAGCCCGCCAGAGCACACCAACCAACCCCACATGTTGCGGTTCGCCCCTACTATTTCCCGTACTTAACAAAGAAGCCTCTCATACCTCCCAGGCGATGACTGGTCAGAAAGAGCAATGACAAGACCGTAGTAGACAAGGGCGGTGGCGATCTGTACAGTACCTTTTCAACCTTTTGAATATTTCAAGAATACCGTAGTCACAAACGTACCCAAATAATGAACAGCATGATGTTCCGTACTCGTAATTCGGCTGCACGGAAAAGATGAAAGTAATGAGGTCGTTCGTCTTTTTTCATCCATTTCCTTTTCTCGGCGTGACGAACCTACATATCAGAATTCTTTATAATCCTCAGACCGACGTCCTAATCAGTTATGTTTGTTCTTTGTTCGCATCATGGACGTGTTCTTGGCTCAGAAACCAAGGACCATGATTGCTTGCACAATCAGATCCCGACTATACTAACCAACCATCTGGAACGGTTACTCGCAGCGGACTTACCTTCCCATCGTATGGTTTAGTTAATTAATGGCAGTAGCGGAGGGAGAAATGAACTTACCAATCCAAGATCGCTCGGTAGGCTGCTGTTATTATTTTTGCAAGCTTTACGTATGATCTTTTCGGCATCTTCGACTCGGTTCATCAAGATCAACCATCGAGGTGATTCGGGCAGGAAATGGATGAATACCAGAGCGATGCAATGCAGTCCCACAGTAATCATCTGTAATGACAAAGGAGTAAGTAAATTTTGTATTGGGAAAGGTATTTCTCTGAAATAGGACGAAAAAATCCACTAGAGGAGCTAAATGCCATGTGCTTAACTCCCAGAGGGTTCTTGCGTTCTAGGATAACGGAGAAGGGGGAGAGGATGGGATTTTCCTCCCCTGTCTGCTCCCCCTCATATTTGCTGTGTGCCCAGCCTACCCAAATGGGTAATTACTCTAATAGTTCACACTGTTGGCTACAGTTTCCCACATTTTCCGACTGTTATCTGCCTGAGTGAGACTGACAAAGCGATAAGATCATTACATGTATCGTAGTCCATGACTTTGTGAGATAGGCGATCAGGGCCAGGAAGGCATAACCACATGCCCATGGAGCTTGAAGTAGACTTCCGACGATGGAGCGGTATTCTTTGCCTAAAAACTGAACCATTGGGTTTGTCGACACCAAATTTTTAAAACTGTACACTTACCAGTAATCTCCATACAAAGAACATAAGCAGCCAAATCTGCGGCTTCATTACTGGCAGCTAGCAGGAATCGTACCACTAGGAATATTTCAAATTCACGTGAATAGCCCAGAAGGAATCCAAAGATCATCGACAGTATGCCGAACCCATAAATCGCCGTTTTTCGACCATATCTTAAAGAATCCTTAATCAGTTTAGCCTCAAATTGAAGTCTATGGGGATTTAGAAAAAAGGCCTGCTGATCTTGTAGAGCCCAGCTTTGTAAGTAAATTAAGAAAAAGTACTGAGGCTTTCCAGTGTAGATCATCTTTGATCACCAGAAATGATCTCTACTGAAATCGATAATCGATAAGCCGTGATAGACCGAGAAGGCGGCCATTCTCGACAGGTGTTTTTGCTCGCCGCTGCCGGAATGGAAGAGCGTCGACAGGCGAGGGTCACAGGGCGGCCAACTAGCGTTCCATGACCCAGCAAGTCTTTAAGGCCCTTTACCGATGACTACAGTATCCGAGACCGTATTTAGACCAAATTACTAAAATATTCACCGATCGCTAACAAATCCTCCAAGCAATCCTCCCACAAGATATCCTAGAGAGTAACTCATGTGTACGTGAGCACGACTCCAATTATTGTCACATACTCGGTTCCATTCCGTTACGACAGTCTTCTCCATCACCTACAACATTGCGGAGACGTATAAGAAAATGTTTGGGTTGTGATTGCAATCCAAAAACTGGACATACCGATTGATCATATTCCCATTGTTCACATCTGATTACTGGGGCATCGTTCGCAGTGTAATTTGTTGCCTAAAAATGAAAAGGTAGAAAATGTCCATGACTTGGAAGGGCTACCAGTACAGTCGTACCACTTCAGTACCTGCGATAAGGGAAGATTTTTAAGATGCACATAATCTCGCTCGTAATAATGACATTGATCATGCCATTCCATATCTCTTTGTTTATTTTTCACCTAAAAGTGAGGACAGATTGAAAAAAACGCCCACAAACAACTCTAAAACTTTCAACTCCTTAAGCAATTCGTCGTAGGACACTACAGTAGTAAGCTTACTGTAGGAAAAGCTATACGTGAATTTAGCACGTCGTCCCATGTATAGGAGGTAGTGTTTGATTGTGCAAAGACTTCAGCATTGAAAAAAGGAATCTGAAATTTCTTTCATATAGTATACTCGGGCTTGCATGAAAAAAACAAACCTAGCTGAAGTCCTATTCAGTAACTAGCAAACGCTAGTGTTTATTTACTTATTTATTCATTCGTTTATTTATTCAGTCATCACATCATATGTGAAAGTCTGACAGGATGTAAAGATGGATTTGAAAGTACCATCATGGAAAAGTTTCAGCGAGATTATTTGCCCCTGGTTTCAGAGTGAGACGGCCCTTACGTGCACAGACAAAAATGGAGGCAACTGGATCGGCGAAAATGTAAATTAAGCTACTTATCTCTTGTTTATGCTTACTACTTATTTTTTGATGTATGCCACAAAAAAGACATCAGGAAAGATTCTTTCTGGATTGAGTTAAGTCATAGAAATTCGTACCTTACACCAGTGATCTGGCTGATACATCATGTAGACTACACTGAGATTGAACATTGCATGAGGTACTTGTTGAACGGATATCATCAAATACACTACCACTTGCCAATTTGAACATCCACCGATGATACTCAGAATCCCTGAACGAAAACGATTTATTGATCAATCATAGAAAGTCGGCCTGAAGCTTATCCCGAAATAGGGTTAGGATTTAAAGTCGTTTAATAGTAAGAAAAATCTAACCCCCACCCTGAAAGGCTTAGTGACTCCAACAGAATCAGCTAAAGAGAGCCTGAACTACTTCTGCCAACTCCTGGCCCATTCCAGGGTAAGCGGTATTGTAGTGAGTTCGAGCTTAAAGTTATCCAGTGACTACGATCTGATTAAATGTAGACTTAAATCGTTAAGTTCAATGTTTCAGTCAGGATTCCTGTGCGACACGCTCAATCTTGTCAGCAGGTGCTTAGAGTATAAATGGACGCCGGTAGATCACCTTCGAAATCAATGTCGGTCAACCTCCGCTGCCGCTTCTGCTCGGAGTACTGCTTCTGTTTCTGATAGTGCTGATTTCGGATTTCCAAATCGCTTTTCAGCCTTGTGTCACGCCTAAAACGAAAAACTTTAGGCTGAGTGATCTGGCTAGAGGCCATCATAGTTTCTTACGAGGGTCCAGCACTGGCATGACCTTCGCCATGAGCGCTATCACTCTGCATGGACTGCTCTGACAGACCTCCATCTCCCAATTCAGGAATCTGTAGAAACAACATTTACTGATTGGTGTAAAATAGATTGTTTCATTGTCGTACTACTCACAGTCGTCAGATGTTCTGGATGTTCAGCTGACTGTGCTGGAAGTTCGGGATCTGAGTAAATCAACGGTGTCCGAGCGAGTTCACTAACATTCACCGTCCCTCCACGAAGGACGAGATCCGTATCGCTCTAGAAGCAACTCAAAACTGAATTCAAGACAGTTTTCTAGAGATTTCTCTATTTGTAGAACCCTGCCAAGGTAGCAACCAACTCAACGGCATACCATCAAATCTCTTGTAGGGGTGATTTAGACTGGAATGAATGTAATCTCACCTTGCCCACTACAACGGCCTAGTGAAAGCGTAAAGTTGCAATAAAGGGGAGGTGGGAAAGTGGCAAGCGGCGCCCATAGCGTACTCATGACCAGAAGATCAAACTCAGAGTATGGAGCGTTACAGACCGTTTATTCAGTCTACTCTTCTAGTATGGGAAAGCTCCCAACGTCTCGGAAGTCTCAAATAAGCCTTTTACTGAGTTTGATGTCTGGTCGCTCGGTTTTTTAGACGGTCGAAAGGAGAAGCGCGACATTTCTAAAGATTCCCTTGGGGTGGAAGTATCTAATAAATGTAGTCATAAATTTTCCGAAGTTTCTGGTATTCTCAAAAGCAGCTCCAAAATTAATGGCCTCAGATGGGTTGGGTAAGAAAGTTTTTGAACTCTTCTGGAAAAAAATCGATAAATGTACGAATCCAGAAAGACTATGACGCATTAATGCAATGAAGGCTTGATCGTGGTAATTACCGTAACTATGGTGGTCCAAAAAAGTATGGAGGGATTAAAATTTTGGGTAATGGGAACTTTAATCGCTAGTTCAACTGGGTATGCAATTTAGAACCCAGACAGAACAGAGAAATAATGAATTAGGCCTTCAAATGGTAAACAGCCATATCTTTACCTGTATATAGGGGACTTTAGGCTTCAATTTATCGAGCATTGTGCTTCCATTCACTTCCCTATAGCCGTAGGCACATCATCTGAACAGCTCTGTTACTGAATGAATCCACTTAGAAAAGTAAAAAACGAGAGGCGATTCTTTCAGAACAACCTAAAGCTCGACACCTTATTGTTGACATTTTCATACATCTACTCGAGAACAAATCGGAGGTGATGCGGCAGCAAACGCCGATGCCAATACGAACACAGTCCAAAGATCAAAATCCAACAATGCCGACCTAGTCTTTCATTCTTAAGGTGTTGATGAATAGGGGTAGATTTGTATGGGAGAGCGAGAAAGAGAAAATGTATTGACTCGCTCCCCAGCTGGTATTGCAAGTCATCAGCATAGATGGTCATGGAAAATGGCTATAAAGCCCCATCAATTTCCAACTGAAAACATTTTCCCCTCCCGCTCTCTTTCCTCCGCCCTTCTATGCTCCTTACATCCACTCCTATCCAGCAAGCGAAAAAGTAGAAGGAAACGTTTAATGGGTTAAAGGCGAGGGATACGGGGTGAGGTAATACTTCATGACAACTCCCTGACAAGTTTTCATTGGAATCTGAACAGTTGTCAAACCTACAATACAGAGGTACCAGGATCGTCTGGGAGGGCAAAAGTACTAACATGTACGTCGACTGGCCACCATAATTTACTGAAACGGCCACATACGCACTCAATACGCCACTACGATTCTGAATTGAAGTCGAGTGCGTGGCGTATTCTCCAGACGGGATTGATTAACACCCAAAAAACTTTCTCTTGTATCTTTTACGATCCCTCAATCCTTATTTGATCAAAGGCGACCCCTCCCCCCTCCCCCCCTTTTTTTTTTGCCCTCTCCCGCCTCCTTGTTACAAGCACCGCAGCAAAGCTAGAAATTCGGGCGGCCATTATTGGGTATTTATTCCACGTGGATAAGGGAAGAAAGCGGGTGAGGAAGGGGAACGAAAGCGGTAGCCATCGAACTTCATGAACGGTATGGACTGTCAATGAAAATAGGTGCAAATTACATCAAAAAATCCGATCAATTAGAAGAATAAGCAATTCCAGCATGCCCCAAACAAAGTGGTTTTGAAAGGAAAATCGAATCGTAAGTGCAAAGGCATGACTTCCATAACGTTAACGCCCAATCCACGGCATGAATCCATCACGTGCATAAGGCATGGCGTCGAAAAAAATGGAAGAAATTTGAAAAAATTACTCCTATAGCCCGAGAATTCCATTTCATGCTCAATCGATGCGACATCTCGACCAACGAACAGCTATCCAGGCTCGTTTAGGATTATTTACATATTTATTGAATACAATAACAATGCAGCCATAACCGCAGCAACAGCTGCAAAATTTTGGTCTCAAGTGGGTCATACTGTGTAAAATATGTTCAAAATCGAGTTCCATCACATTGGGGATGAATGGTCAAGAAAAAGTTGAGATTGCATGGCAGCAGTTGATTGATTCTTTTGCAGAATGTCCCATTTATTCCGCATACATTCAAACATGTAGAGCCTTCTGTGAGGGTTTCCAGCCAAGAGCACGGTCCGCAAAAGCGTGTTTATATCCAGACTTGATTTTTTATTCGTCCCGAAATGCGCTGAATTAGTTCGGCTTGTCTCGGACAGATATTTGAAATAGGTGGTTCGACTATGATTCGATCTCATAGTTAACCCGATATCTATGTTGAGCTTTCACCTTGGCTAAACAAGGTTATTTACACTACTGAAGGTTTCTGTAAACACCCATCTATGCTCTGAACACCCTAACGAGTATGCTATTATATCTATTTTTCTTTTCTCATTCACTACAGCTCTAATTTCGCGCAGTCGCACGACTTCTGTTTCTGTGAGTTGAAGTCACGAATCCTCCTTTAATTCAGGATTTCTCGATTGCTTTCAGATGCCTACATGGGGTTCAAACTAGCTACATTCCGAATCGTCTAGAGCATGACCATAGTCTACATATGGAGATTTCTCGTAAAGTCCCACAGAAAAGGAAATCTAAAAAAGGATTCAATTTTCTATTATAACACCACAATTAATTCTTACCATTATCTGGCAATAATGAGTGTTATTTATCACACCCATGAACAATAGCAGAGGTAATAGGGGAAAGCAAGCTTGCAGTAAAGCTTTGGCCACTACGAAGTCTTCGTTCTTGCTGAATTTGGAGCCGGACATTAGACTAACGAATTACGAATCATTTACGACAGTTTTGTAGTTTTGTCTTGGCCAGTCTTTGATAGTAGTCTCGTGGCATCGAACTGGTATGAACGTACTCACAAACGTTCCGTCCTTTCTACCCGCCTATCGGTAAGGAGCACACCCTTCAACCAGGCATCACATCCCCTTCAATTCCTTCGACGCATCACCTCCTCATTAGCGGGTGTCGCGATCACGGCACGCAACACCACCGTCGCGTCAACGTGTCGCAAGGAAAGGCCTCAAGGCGCGTATAGACCGCTTCCATCTTGTCTCCAATGAAATTCCTAAATTGGTGAAAGTATAGTTGGGGAAAGGGGGGGGGGGGGGAGCATCCATTACAACGTTTGTAACTAGGAATGAAATCGAATGAACTCAATAAGACGTGTTACGCTGTGTTAAATCAGGGACATGCAATTTCTTCAAACTAAGGGCTTCAGCAAGGAAGGAGCATCGCGTGAGCAAGATTTTTTCTTTTTTTCTTTCGAGGTAATCATTCCACCCACCCAGATGCTTCTACCCTACTTGGGCTTAGCTAAAAAAGTACGTTCCCATGGCTGAAGCCTCATAAAAGTGCACAGATGGCCAGTGCCCATTCTCCTCTTCGTCTCTGATACCTCGCTAAACTCGCTAAATGACAAGGATTAACACGTAAGACTGAGTTCATTTCTTGATATACCAACCTTGTGATTGGTGCCTCCAAAGCTTGTGATGGCTCCCCCCCTCCAACTACATTTTCACCCTCCGCGAATGATATATAGTAGAAGTATTAGGGAATAGCAGGCTCACAATGAAGCTTTAGCCCCCTAACAAGTTTTCGTTATTGTTGAGTGTGGACCCGGGCATTAAACTCCAATCATTCAAGCGGATTTTGTCTTTGTTCCGTCCTTGATAATAGTCCCGTGGCATCAAACTGGTATGCTCGTGTTCACAAGCGTTAAGCTCTGTCTCCTCGGCGATCGATAAGGCGCCAAATTTCAAATCAGGCTCGTTCCTTGTGCGCTTCAACCAAACATCACTTCCTCTTTGAATTCCTTTGACGCATCACCTCCTCATTAGCGGGTGCGGCGAGCACGGCACGCAGCACCGCCTGGCATCACCGTTGAAGAGCCCAAGGCGCCCAAGGCGTGTGTTGACCACTCCCACTTGACGTTCCTATAAAATTCTTAAATTAACCCTGAATATAACCTCTAGTAACTTTAAACAGTGATATCTATGCATTTATAGCTTCGATTTACCCCCAGGAAGGTGTCAAATAATGTAAAGTGCGATTTTTATCATCAATGATAAGCCCTGCTTGAAAACCATATAACGCAGGTCGGCAAAGTGAAAGTACTGCTTTTTAAGGACACAAATAACAGTCACAGTGAACGTAATAGGTATTTCCTTTACACCATCAACCCAAAAACCATAAAACTTTTCGGAACGGCAAATGTTATTCGTTGTAAGACGCCTTATCATGTCAAACAAATGGCCAGGTACGGGAATTTCGTTGGAGAACCCCAGACAGCATCGATCATCGATAGCCAACGAATTGATTGGAAGAGCAACTGTTTTCGAGAACGTAAACTTGAAATCTGTCATCGTCAGCTGTGCATTCTTAATAGTTTTGTTATTGAAGGATAGATCCAGAATAATCTAATGATGTTGAATTTATTTATTTGTTTACTTAATTTTCTATACCCTTGCCTGAGTACGTCTTGAAGATCATCGTTCAGGGCAATAACCATTTTAATAGTTTCTGGACCGTAATCACATTTGAAGTCCATAAATTACTCTTCAAAAGTTAATCAGCCTATTTCTCGAGAAAAATTCGATTACGCTCATTTCTCCAATAATTATTTTGTATAATTTTTTATAAATAATATGACTGAAAATCTATGAAAAAGCAAAGGTACCATCTCCAGGAAATTCAGTTTTGAACAAAATCGAACCACTCGGTAGGACACTTAATTTGAGAGAGTAAAAAATGTGAGGAGGTAAATTGCTTCAGTAGTTGGCTAGAAGCTTGTAGAATGAACGTCCTATTCGAAAAGGCTCAAGAAAGTTCCAGCCGTTTTGCCAGTATCCTACCCGTCGGTTCCATTGACGGGCTAGAGGTAGCTGACATGCCCGCAAAGGCGGCGGTCCCTTCACCCTCCCTCCTCTTGCTCCCATCCACCAATGGAACCAATGAGTAAAATACCAGTTAAAAAAGCTATGGAACCAACAAGTAGGATACCGGTGGCAACAAATAAATGGGCCCATGGATAAGTTCAGGAGTTCGTACATGCCAATAAACTCGGACATCTATATTGGAAAGCTTGAACACTTACAAATACCCAAAGTGTCACTGAAGCATAATAAATCACAAAGTGCACACTTCGATAAAACCTATTACAAAGAGTTGCGCACTGACATTTTTCACTTCGAACTGCTTGTACTTCGAATGAAAAGGAGAGTAGTAGAAGGAATACTCAGTTAACGAAGGGCGTCAGACGTGAAGACATGCCAATAAGTAAATAAACAGCTTATAAATTAAACAAACAGATTTTCAAACCATTGAATGAGACGAGGCTCAACTGGGCCGAAATATTATTACGAACCCGGGTACATTGCTATGTGCATAACGAGAAATTCTCGTCAGGGGTAGATTTGGAGGGGTCACAAACATTCCCCACTTCCTCACGAATTCCCCTCCCCTTCGACCATCGCCGTCATTTATCGCCCAAAATAAGGAGAAGCTGGAAAACTGAGCAAAATGATAGATGAAAAGTGGGAGGGGTCTAACTGACAACCGGTTTTTTGCGGGGATTGCGGAGAGAGAGGGAGTGAGAAGGGGTTCATAATCGTGAGCGAATTTCCTCGACGGCATGTTCTGGTTGCCTTAGAAATTCCTAAACGCATTAGATTAGCTGTGACTTCATTCTGTGACATCTTTTTTTGGTGAATAAACAAACAATTAAGTAAATAAGCGACCCAGAAAAGAAAGTCTAAGTGTTAAGAGTTGCGATACTAGCGTGCTCTCGAAAAAAACCCCATCCGAAAGGGGCAGATCTCAACTGCTCAAGGGCCACCTTTGTCTCAAATTTATGTCCTGCCATTATGAATAATAAAGCAATCAATAAGTCATAAATTCTGAACTATTGAGCAATCAATAAGTACATAAACTATTGAACGACCTTTTCTACAAGCATGCTGCTCCCAGATAGCTGGTCAGTGTTTCGCCCATTTCCTTATAAGTAAGTAGGCTGTTTCTCCTATTTTAGAAGCTGTTATCTAACACGACTGGGTCAGTACAGAGTGGAACCAAACCAATAAATATGATAACAACAAAATAAAAACGTAAACAAGCTTTGAAAGGAACGCAAAATCAAAGATTTCGAGTGCTGATATAGAGGGTCTCTATAGATCCCCGTTAATTAGAGCCATCGTAGTACTGGTAAGGTCACCAGGGACCACAAATGACCGTTATTGTGTCCTACCAATAGGCGAAATAAAGTAATCGTCGGAACAACCTTGGAGAAGTGCCAATCAATCGATTCGCACATCCAACAGGTTGCGAGCGGGGTATATCAGCTTGCTTATCTATTGAGTAGGCTCTGAGGTGATCCAGTGATGACCATAGATTGAACTTAGCTTTTTCTGAGCTTAACGGATGACGTGGTGATCGTTGTTGAAGCAAAATGAAAAGGAGAAAAGCAAACGAATCGATATTGATAAGAGAGAAATAATCCGTTGTGAAGATGGGGTCTGAACTGACAATGATTTGAACGAATGTGACAGTTGAAGATTCGGCGGTCTGGTAGATGGGAAAAGGGCCTGGTAGGGATTAGTAGGAATGCGGGCCACGTTGGACCATTCAACGGGTTGTTGCAATGGGCCATCGAATGGACAATAACAATGGCAGGCGGCAGGCCAGAATCGTGAGGCCAAGCGGCCATGACTTATCACCATCAGCTGTGATAAATCGACAACGCATAGACTGGGTACAAGGTGCAATTTTTTGAATCAGAAGACTAATAAACACGAGGGGCATTTTCGATCCATAGGGGACCATATTGAGATTTTCAATCAAATCAGCTAGGACGTCTTTTCCAGTTGATCAGAGCAAGGTCACTAGTTACAACAGACCTCATCTTCTCTAAGATCAAGCGCCGGATAAAAACCCATGGAACCCCTCAAATTGAAAAATTCGTACTGACATTGTTTATTTATATTTACTCAAGTTGCAGAGCCGTACTTTGAAAAAAAATGATGCGGCCTTGTATCGTTCTTTTTCAAAACTTGGCGGGTATGGTGAAGGAAAGGGTCGGAGGGTGGTTCCTGCGCTGTTATTGGTGCATTTACGAGTAGATAAATAGATAAAAATTTCAAAGAGATAAACAAATAAATAATTAACAACCAACTAATCATAAAGAGATGAAAAAACGAATAAACAAGTAAAAAAATAAGGGCAAGTCTGAAGAAATTGCTGAATCCAAATTTTCAGTCCATCTTCCATCCCTTTATATATAAAAACGGCTAGGAAAGAGAAGAATTATAAAAATTTCATGCACCCTTAATTTTAATTTTATACATGAGTAGCTAGTTGGTCAGCGACCAAGTCAGATTGTATATTTCACAGAAATAATCATGATAGAAAAAAACATTCTTCACAAAAAACACCGAGCTATGTATTGACCATAAAATATATACACAAGTACCTGGTGCCTAGCTACTAACTTCAAAATGCAGGTTGTTATCCACCAAGACAAATGTTTAAAACACCCAAAAAAGCAGAAACCACTCAGCAGCCAACCTAATACTTTGAAAGTTCACTCATCTACAAGTAGATTCCCATGTGGAGTTAAGGCGGACTACCACCATGAGGTGCGCTATGGCCAATCGTTTACGCGCGAAAAGCCGTTATTTGAATTGGGTGCCGAGTTTTCTTTTAATTAAGTTTTCCTTGTAACATTTTTGACTTTACTTTAATTTTCATTATTTTCACGATGTTCTCTATAATGACCTCGGTTTAGTGCCTCACATCGCATCAGCAAAGATCAGTACTTAGTAAGACAAAGGAGCTCAAAACAGCAGTGTGCTTTAGTAATTCCTAGCTTTTCAGGCATGATTCCAGATGAGGTGGACATCTCAGTGAACGCAGTGAAAAACTGCAAGCTGAATGGTGATTGTTCGCCTAGCTTAAATAAAAAAGAGAAGAGATTGTTCAAGCCCCATGTGGAAGTGCAGCTCAGAAAGGGAGTGTGAGTTAGATTTTTGTTTCGATGTTTTTTGGAGAAAAACCACTATCACAATAGGTGTGAGATACCGATTCGACGTCGTAAAGTAGAAGGATTCCCTAGATTTGGTTGATTTTTTCTTTCTCTGACTAACTGTAATTTTTCAAAGAACTATCTTTAAACGTCCACTTAGTGAACGGTCTAAATTCAATCTCTCTTGATTTTACCAGTTCTCCAACTCTGAATGATAAATAGCACGTATAACAAATATACGGCAAGTTCAGCTGTTCCGAAAGAGCAGGAAGAGAGGAGTGCATTGAGCCACGAAATACTACGCTATCAGGTTACTGACCATTTTAACGCATTCAGGGCAAAGTCGCAAATCGAAAAGCGGATCCCGGAATTGGAATCGTTCATCAGAAAGCAGAAGAATTTACGAAACTGGGTCCCAAGCACTGTAGAACCATCAGATGCAGCCAGTGGTGACAATGACTCACTTGCCAGTAAGTCAGAGTTTCCGATTACTATCCTTTCGACTAATTCCTTTTACTACTACTACATATTTCTGATCTTCAGATCTTATTCATGGGATAGTAATTGGTTGCACAAACTTTCCCGATGCTTGCCCTCTGAATTCATTGTTGGAAGACGTGAAACTCGATGAGCATAATGTGCACTTCTATCGACTTAACACCGATGGGGCCATGAATCAGGCACTATCAGGTACGCTATAAATATATCACCTCCCCAACTTTCTTGTCATTGGATTATAGTTCCAAGCAAACTGTTGTTGTTTTGTCACCATATACAGGTATTCGCAGGGCCCTCGGCTCTGCCATTCCCATTTGTGCTTTACTTTTCAGTTTTCTTTTTTTTTCTTTTCGTCTTCATCATCTCTTCGAGAGCTCGCGCAGTGTTCCTCTCTCGAAGGACCCGACGTTATTTCTTTCTTGATGAAGGGCAGGTACACTTAATAGTGCTGGTTCTCTGTGGCGCCAGAACACAACTTCTATTTAAAACCAATAATTCATTAATCACGGAACGGATCGAATCTCATCATGGACACAATGTTTTTACGCTTAATTTAATGAGAAATTGCATGATTTAGTTGACGACAATTCCGATGACAATTCAATTGGTTCAATCCTATGGCAGTTGCCATGCAGCGAATTTGAAAATCTTTGGGAAAACTTAGTCTACGATTCCGATCTGAAAAACGAGGTACTTTCTTTTAAAATATCGGAAAATTCCATGAATCAAAGATCTAATCGGGAATCTAGCGTTCTCAGATTGTTAGAGAACTTTATGAAAGGTGATTACTGAAATTTCAGCTTATGTCGTATGTACATGCCTTAATTCAACTCTCTGACAAAGGAGCCGACATGAAAGTGATAAATGTCAATCACCTCATTATTCTACTCGGTCTGCACTTGAATACTTTCTTTTAAGGTTCTATTTGTGACACTGTTCTGAGCCACCGGTATTTTAGGTCCTCCTGGTACTGGAAAAACATCGCTTTGTCGTGGCATAGCTCAACATCTATCCATTCGACTGAACTCTCGATTTTCTAGTTCCGTAATGGTGGAGATCAACAGTCATAGCTTGTTTTCTAAGTGGTTCTCTGAGGTATCTGTAATTTTTCTGTTTTTTTCTGATTTATTGTCGACGACTACAAGTTTTATCTTACTTGCCGTTTCTACTTTATTCTCACATTAGCCTCTTTAGCATGGTAGGTGGATCAACAGCTTTGATCAAAATCGATTGATTACAGAGTGGCAAACTCGTCTTGAAAATGTTCGATCAAATCGATGAATTAGCAGAAGATGATAGATGCATGGTATTTGTGCTTATCGATGAGGTAATTTTATAAAGTCCATACATTTTTTCTAACAACCCTCGGATATCCTGTCCAGATCGAATCCCTCGGAATGTCACGTGATGCTTCAACTAGTAGAGGTGATCCAGCCGATTCTATTCGTGCGGTCAATGCTCTGCTAACTCAGATTGACAGAATTAGGCGGTACATGAGTCTACTTTTGTTTGTCATCGATATACTTTGTGTTCAAGACTAAGGTTCCAGGAGAACAAATGTAATCGTTCTTTGTACATCCAATATGGAAGGCTGCCTTGATCGAGCGCTTCTGGATCGCGCTGATGTCGTAAGACATGTAGGACAACCCTCAGCGAACGCGTTGTATTCGATCCTCTCTAAATGCGTCGGAGAGCTTATCAGAGTAAGGCCCTCATTCACCTTATGTTTGAACTTCTTACCTTACCCTTCTTTCTCCTAAATTCCAGATCGGTCTTGTGGTGACTGACGAACAGGTACCCTCTATCAGAGAACTTAAAGCTATAGAACCAGAATGTTCGGTAGGGCGTGAACTGATGGAATTAGCTGTATTGGCTCTAGGTTTAAGCGGACGATCTATACGTCAGGTCCCAGCCTTAGCATGGTCTAAATCGGACGAGGTAATACCGTTTTTCACATTGGGATGGATGCCACCTCGCTTTAATACTTTTGTCTCACAGGAATCGGTTTCCCTTTCTACATGCTTATCACTGTTCAAGGAGGCGATTTTGGAGAAAACTGAATTGCGAAGATAACTTCATTGTATGACTCTCATTATGCATACCAGTAAACCTTTATTTGATAAAGACCTTATTATATTGATTGTGTATCAGTCAACATAACATGGTAACAGCTTATTTACAATTTATGTCAATGTATCAACAGTACTTATTGGATTTTCACTTCAAAATTGCACATTCAGTATGGGATCTTGTACATGATTAACGACTTCATGATTTTGGGGTGGTGTTTCTGGGCTTTGCGGTGAAACGGGGTTCTCAACACCCTCATATTCAGCATGGACTACTTTAACGCCTCTATATAGTACATAATGTTGTAACATGAAAATAATATCAAATATTATCGAAACTAAACCTAGGCCAAATTTGACGGGATTCCCGTAGAATGCAACCCAATCGTCGACATTAATGCATTGAAGTACCATTTGCATAATATCCAAACTACCTCCCGTAAAGTCAAGAAGCACGTTACCGATCGACCAGCCAACTGTGCTTTTTCTTTTGAAGTTGAAGAACGTCTGAAAGCAAGAACGGAAGCATTTAGGATAATTGTCGCCCCCTCTTCAAAATCTTATTGCCAGAGAAAGTTTGTTCGCAGGGTTCAATGAGGAATCCTCTTATTTCTCATCTGTTGTTTTTACAACTCTCTCTTCTATCAATTCCCTTTTTACAATTCTCCCTTGGTTCCTTAAGCCCTGTTCATTGTCTGTGACGCACTAGGGAATCGGGGAATCCGTAAAAATGTACTTATTGATTACTGACGCCGGTGTCTCTACATTCCAAGAGAATCAGAGTTTGGGCGAAACAAGCAAGACACCTCTCTTCAGAGTTCAGAGAGGTAAAAGTCCATGAGTACCCATTTTGGTGGCCGATTCTCCAGCTAAACCCCAACTATGAACGTAATCCTAACTCAACCATCCAGATCCGACTGAATAGGTAACATACCTGTGGGAAATACTTCGATAGAGTGACAATCATCTTTATGTAGGAGAATGTGATGACGAATTGAAGAACGTTAAGCAACTCAAGGAAGTTCGCTAATCCTGCGAAGGCGGCTAACAGAATCAGAATTGTAGACAACACCATACAAGTCCTCGAAACCCGTTGATTTTCCCGCTAAAAACTCCAATATCAACAAATATCCATAGGAATGGCATAATGATCACTCGCACACGCGAAAAAAAAAACTCACCTCATACAGGAAACATTGGATAGCTGTTACAACACAGGCAAGAAAAGCATGCACAGCAAAAACAACATCATTTAGTAACACCGGTATGGGACTTTTGGGATGCTTCTCTTTATAGTGATCCTGAAAATCGATACCTCATAATAGGTAGAGCTTGTAGAATATCAATCCCAAATTTTTGAAACCGGAGACCTACAAGAATACGCTACTACCTCAAAAGCTCCAGCTCGTGATCCTAATGAATGATCTAGACGCTTACTTCATATACCAGGAGTGCAACATTTTGTTCATTACATTCGGGCGAATCTACCAATAATCTAGGATAACTGGGACGGAACTCTATACGGACTCATGAATTTCTGCAAGAAAATAGAGCGGAAGCCTCAGAGTTCCCTTCAAAGAACATGGACGGCTTTGCAAAGGATGAAGGCCCTACATACAGGAAGCTAGCCTTATGTGGTATTTTTCACTTAAACAAAAAAGCTTACCTGAACATTTGTATCAAAATACATCAACATATTGTAGATACTATAGGCAGCAAATCCAATGATATTTAATAGAAGGAAATCAAAATTGAGCCCAGTAACACTGGAAAACATGGTTGAGTTCTTGAAAGCTGTAAAAGGCACTGCATGAAACAACTAAGTTCACCTCTTTCTTCTGAAGTTCAGAATTATCTGAGGATAAAATGACAGGCTCCAAGCGGCGAAATACATCCATCCAACAATTATGGTGAATAAATGAATGAGTTGAGATTTGATCACCGATACACGAACGAAAGCATCAGCAATACTGTAATTATAAGATGAGCTGTGAATTATGATTAAGGCAAAGCTAAAAAGACAAAGTGGAGATTTCGGGATGTCCTTTCATTAATTAGACCCCACCCAGGGGGGCTGATAGGAGTATAAATCGTAGTCCACGGTCTTATGAGAGGTTTTTCTTGAAGATTGAATGGGGAAGAAATCGCACTTGGAGCGTCGTCAAAACATGCCCCTCTAAATGGGTAGATCTTGTATGCCCCAAGTCCCACCACGTTTTTTGACGGGTAGAAAAGGAGAAGCCTTATTCCAGAGCCCAAAAAGTTTTGAACCAGAATGGAGGTCATTACAAAATTCGAAAAAAGAACCTTATCCCCACTGTAAGTCAAAAATTTGAGTCTGATACTCCTACAATTCCGAATGAAGGTAAGTGCGTAGCGCTCATAATCTTCAGAACCATTCCAAAACTCATCTGATACACGTGGATCAACAAAACATTCTATCACATCTCTTTCAAACTCCGAGAAAATCCATATAAAATTGTCCATTGACTAGGCCATTTTTCAGAAGCAAAGAAAATTGCCCTGATAAGGATTACGGTGAAAATGATGCCACGAAGACTTACTTGAGTTTACATTTCGTTGTGTTACTTTGACTGGTACAAGTTGCCACCTCTAAGTGTGTTAAGCTGATCAATTTACGGCCAGTAATCGATAATACTCCACGACCCGTTGATTTAGCCAGTGTTACATGACTGGATGTTTCGAAATATTCAGATTTATTCAGGTACAACCGAACATCAGATTCAAGAGGTACTCTGAAAAAAAATTATCATATTCATCCTTCCATTCGTTCATCCTCATTTATTTGATTCAAGTAATAGAAATATAGTAAGTTGAATATGAAGGGGTCAAAGGATATGAGATCATTACTAAAAAAAACTAGCAAAGTCGAAGATTAGCAAAACTCTCGGTGCCTTATGGGGCGCAATCTCTTGAAAGGTAATCATAAGAAACCTAAACTTGCTCGCTTTCAATGCCATTCTGCTCAGTTTCCCTATTTTAGAATCCCCTGGAAGCATAATGGACTAGGGCCAGAGTTGCCGCTGGAGCGTGAGCTACTCTTAAGGGATCAAAATTCACAACTGTCAATCAACTATTTCGTTTTTATTAAGAAATTCCAAAAAGGATTTAAATGGCAATGTGAACAGATGCCATCCCCCTCATTATGCTTGCACGTCAAATATGCAATCGAATGGCATTTATCAAATGGAATTTTGACAAATTTATCTTTTACTATTTTTTATAAAAATAATTCGTTGGAATTTCTATGGCTTCTCCGCACAAAGGCTTAGTGTCAGATAAGATTTATTCGATGGAACGTCAAAAGGCCACAGGACTCGTGGAACTAGAGTCCGAAGAAAAACCACAACAGACTTGGTTCGACGGAGTGGAGGTGGAGCAGCGCAATTGATGGGGCTACCGCCGATATGTTACAAAGATTAAGCTGGAATCAAACTGAACGTGGACTTGGGGCGGTTTTCTCCCTATGATTTCAATAAGGTAATTTTCTAAGATGCAATAACTGAGTTCTGAGAAGGCAGTCAGTGCAGGGGACAAATAAATATCTAAAATGTTACTGAGAATTCAATCGATATCAAGGGGAATGAAACTGCCATGGAATTAATATATTTATCCTTACTTGGACTGATAGGTAATGTTAGCCGTCTCGTTGACCTCCACTCGTACGTCAGTCGGATGAACCGTGAGATTTTGTATCCTTTTTGTGCTCAAGACCAGTGGCCAATTAGAAACACATACTGCTAGGCATACGAGTAAATTAGCCAACATACCGGTGTACCCCTGAAAGTCACAAATTATAGTTAGCTTTCTAAAAACTCGATTAAGACTCATAAATGACGAAAAGGGAGAGATAAATAATTGCGAAGAAAATATACAAATAATTGCTAAGGAAAGACACACTTTTTTAATGTATAAAAACCTTGTCTAATGGTAGATCTGTAATTTTGCATTTGTGTGTGCCTGTCCGTAGGTCACTGAGTGAGGACAGATGAACAACAGCGGGAACCTTTTACTTTTCAGATGAGTAAATTGGCTGACTGCTTAGGTGCATGCCCCAAATGTGAGCGGGTGTCGGCTCATGCCACCAATCCTTCCGACAGGCACAACATTCCCTTACACTTAGAGCATGCACCGAAGCCACGCCCACTACGCTTCCAAACGTGAAGGTCACGCCCAAGTGCCAGGAATAATGAAGTCCATTGTGTTAAGGATAGCGAACAAAAAGGAATAGGATTCAAAAAAATGGAAGCGCAAATGGAAGAAAAATATAGCCAAGATTTTATAGGTGCGACCTGAATTAACTATGGGCATTCTGCGTGAAATTCCACCGAGCAGAATGGGAATACTAACAAGCTTGCCATCACAAATATTAATGGCTAAAATAATAAACCGTATTGCGATTCTATAGAAGAAGGCGACAGGATTTTGCTTTACAATCGGTGATGATGTGAAATAAAAGGCTATGGAATGGAAAAAATATTATACTGTATGCGTAATTGTACGAATATTTTCCCCAAAGTCATTTGCGGCGTATGCATAGGTAAGGATAAAGGATAAAGTTTTTAGTGTTAATGAATCCTGTCAGGTATGCGCCTCCGCCCTCGACTTCCATTCAGAATCGAAGTGGCGTAATGAGTGCGTATGTGGCGTATACAAGGCCAGCCGATGTACAAGTCAGTGCTTTTACCCTCCCAGACGAGTCTGGTACCAATTAACCGATGCCGGATGGATGGTAGGCTTGGTTGGCCTGGGCGGATATCGATCTGGATTCAAACCCCTGATCGTGCGTGTGAGGTAGTGCGCCACTTGCCACTACACCACCTCCGCCTTGGCATAGATATAAGTAGAACATGATAGTAACAAATGTGTCGTTTAGGACAGCTTTTAATATAATTCTAATCTATTGTTAAACGGTTGTGGGAGCCTAATTGCCCGGTAAGGATTCTCAGAAGAGGAGGAGGCAACGAAGAGGGAAGCGGAGGTTGATGCACAGTTTGAAGGAAATGCACGCTTGAGAGGGAGGGGAAAAGCTAGGCGATTCCGAAGAACGCCTATGGTATTACCGCTCGAGTAGCTCAAGAAAAAGAAGGGACAACACAGCCCCACAGAAAATGCTCTAGGGAGCACCGAAGACTTTCGCTCCACCACAAAAGTTCTACAAAGTGCAACCAGATTTACTTTAGAGGAGCAAGAGTAATATGAAATCCTTGAGTTCCTAAATGAAATTCCTAAAATTCCTAGATCCATTGAATCGTGCTACCCATATACCATTCTTCCGAACGGCTCACTTTATCTTATATGAGAGTACATATTTGACGACGAGAGGTATTATTCGGGAAAGGATCAAAGTGGGTCANAGACTTTCGCTCCACCACAAAAGTTCTACAAAGTGCAACCAGATTTACTTTAGAGGAGCAAGAGTAATATGAAATCCTTAAAGTTCCTAAACTGAAATTCCTAAAATTCCTAGATCCATTGAATCGTGCTGCCCAAATCCCATTCTTCCGAACTACTCACTTTATCTTATATGAGAGTACAGATTTGACGACGAGAGGTATTATTCGGGAAAGGATCAAAGTGGGTCAGCACATTCCGATCTACAATTCACCTACCAGCTCAGAAAAAATTTTATACATAGTAATCGGAACTCATGTGATGGGGAAACGTAGGACAATTTATGACATTATGAACAAAGGGCAATAAAAGAGTTTTTTCTGGAAAAGGAAATCAGTTCAGAGAGTCACATCATATTCTATGGGATAGCTCTTTGTGTACTGCAGAATGACGTTGCAGAAAGTACAAAAAACCATCGACACAGTTAATGATAAGAGAATCAGTTGCACTCAAATTGAAATTATATGATGTGACCCAATTTATTTCGGGACAACTCCATAAAGCGGCCTTGAAGAGTACTTCTGGGTGTCCCCAGGAATCTCCGATCACTGCTACCTTACGACCCTATATCCAAAAAAAGTTCTATTACGTGCTTGACCCATTCAGCACCACCGTAATAACTACCCCCTCGCTCATAAGCTGCTATCAAGTTTGTCTGTTGATGGGATCAGTTAGTCACTACGAGTGTTCCCAGGTGGTGCTAATTGGTTCACTTTTTCGAACACCTCATACTTTCTCGAAAAAAAGGAGTATGTAGTGGGGTAGAGAAAATGCTTTGGTTCAAGTAGATTTTTACAGTAGGCGTCTAGGAAAAACTAATTTACAGCGACAAACTCTTCCATAACAATTTCTACCACTTCTCATCAAAATTTCGACGAAAAAAAAAACACTCAACGAACATGAAGCCTCACTAAACACCCCTGTATCTCAGATACGAAAAAATATCCATAAAAACAAAGCAATGTGCATAAAAAGTAAACATAAACCTAATATCCAAAGATGAACCTGTTCCGGAATTCATAGCCACTCCATTGTCGGAAAATAGGCTGAGGGCGAAACTCCAAATGTTACAGTGAAGCTGATTCTGTACTACAAACCACCCAACAACTTATTCGTTCGCTCTTCTTTAGAACAGTATTGCAAGGTTGATGGAAACGCAGGAGCCATGCTAAATTTAAAGGCACAATCCCAAGGTGGTGGCTAGCTCTTCATAATGTCACCGTTGAGAACCACTTTTTTTGCAGACATTCTGTCCCCTGTTTCAGGTTGGATCACTAGCCGCAACGCGTGGCAGGTCCAGTTTATCAAGAACGAGAGCCAGTAGAAGGTCCGAGTCCCGTCCGAGACTGAAGTCTTACCCATAAATCGCCAACCTTGTGAGACAAGACCCCGTGCTCTACTATCACGAACCTTATGACTGGAGGAATCGTTCAGTGGGTAGGAGAAATGAGGGGTTCTCTGAAAGGGTTACTCAAATATCCCAAAGGTGGTTCACAGAAGGTCGAGGTGCATTCGTCAAACAGAATGCAATATAATAAAATAATGCGGTGGAACCATTGGAGCGTCCAAATCGTTCTAAGTAAGGATTAATTGGGAGCAGGCACTCATTGACAATCACATGATGATAAGGAAGTTAAGTCAGATGAGCTACAGTTATGTGATATCAAAAGAACGTAAAGCAGGGCAAAGTCTTCCTTACATGGTCCCAATTGTCTAATCACTGCACGCTACCAGCCCAAGTTCAAGGTTCCTGAGATTCTTCTGAGAAGGAAGCTTCTCTGTCCGGAACAATTGCGATTAGCAGAAATACGTTGTGGCAAGAAATGCGATGGAAGTACATCTGGGAAACTACCCTTCAGTTATGACAACTGATGAGGTACACTTGGTGAGCAGATGCGAAAGGAGAAAGCAGGAGGGGTGCAAAAAGCGGCCATTCTGTTCCCCTCCCCTCAAAACTGCACTATGCCATTTGTCTTCTTCCAATCTCTTCCGATATTTGGCTAACACCATCGAGTACAGAATGTCCTTCCAGACTCTGCACTCCGTACACAGCTGTACAAGGCGCTTAATTACACAATACTGTTTACCTTAAAGCCATAAAATAAACAGTTCTAAAGTGAAAAAAAGGTATGCAGATGCAAAGGGTAACTACAGTGTAAACAGAACCTTGGGATTGAATCCGAAAGACGGCAACAAATATTTGCACCGAAAAGGCTCGCTGCGATTATTTCGATGTGAAAAGTTGAAAAACAAAGTTTAAGACAAGATAAACAGTTGGGTTTTTTCTAGTAGAGCAGTTGTGGGAGAACGGCCGTGTCGCCTTTCGGCAGCCGATTGGGAAGAATCCAGTCGGTTTCAAACGCGCGAGTCAATCTTCCTTAACGACTTGGCTTAAATCTAGCTTGTCGAACGGGATAAAAACACTGGCTATAAATCGACTTCAGAAAATTACAATGAACATGAAAAAGGTGGACACATTCATTGATGGTTTTAGTCGATGAGTTCAGATCCATTCATTTTTCGTTTGATCAGAATAGACGGACGAAACTTCTGTCTGTTTTGATCATCAAAAAAGTTGATTGACCAGAAATCCAATGATTAGAATTGGCGAAAATTTATGAGGGTAGATAGATGCATGTAGGAATTCTAAAAGAATTTGGAACAGTTTTTACACGAAAGATTATCTCAAATTCAATTCCGGCTCGCCAAAATGAAAATATTTGTTCCTGATGTACTTTTCATTGATAATTACTAGTAGAGTGAGTGGTGACTAACGGTAAAAGCACTTCAAGAATATTTTGTTTCAGTTGATAAGAGAGTACTACTCTCTTGACGTGGATAGAAAAGAAAATACGGATTCACAGACCGAAAAGTGTTCATGACGAACGTCACCAATGATAAGCCCCCAAAGTGAAGCCACCTTTACCGAGTTTTATTGAAAATATCACAATTACATCCAAAATTTAAGCAAATACATCCCAGGCAACCTAACAGTTCTACACATATCACCTAAAGTAATCTGCAGTTATCAATTCTCAGATGGAACAATGACTAGAGACGCCGTTGCCAAAATATGGTACAAAGATGGGACCTGTATCGTACACAACGTAGGCGAACCAAATTAAAGGTTCTCAAATAAAATCAACTCTAAAATAAAACTTAAATTATTCAAATAAATTCCAAATCCAGAAAACTCATGAGATTAGTTCATTTGAACAAGCGTCTTGTAGGGAATGCATTGTTGGGTTGCAACAATATAGCCGTAGTACAAAGCAATGATAGTTCAAAAGCAAATCCAGCTGTAAGAAATCGGCTAACGCTATTCATAAAGGAAGATCGATCAAATGAAAAACTCGTCCGAATAAATGTACAAG